CTTACACTGTGACTGAGAGAATGGGCGTTGTAGGACTTGGTATTGGGCCGGGTGAAATCGATGTCGAAGCGGTTTGCGATCGCAGCTGAAGGCTTGGTAGGCTGGACGGGGACGATGCTGTCATTGAGGGAATCGTGTTGGGCGAGATTGTTTGTTTCGAGAGAAGAAATAGGATAGTCGAAATCGAGGAAGTGATCGGAGTCGGAGAATGACAAATCGACGGATGATTTGATTTCGGGGATAAGTAGCGGAGGAGGTTTGGAGGGATTCCAGGGAATGGGAATATCGATATTGGCATTGCAAGGGTTGGGAGGGAGCGCATTAGTAGCGAAGGCGGAGGACTTGAGCGCCGCCTCCGCGGCAGAGTCGTAGAAGGGGGTCACCGGGACGCGCTCGTGGCGTTGAGCCAAGGGATTGGCGGAGTGGATGTCGTGGTCGCACGTGACGCAGAGGGCGGCCGCGTCCGCCTTGCACGTGACGCTGGCGGGGACCTGCTCACAGACCTCGCACACCCAGACGCGCTCGTGGGCACCCGCCGCCGCTGCCGTCGCGTTGTGGACCGCAGTGTCGCACGCAATGCACATGAAGGCGGCGTCAGCCCGGCAGAAGACCGACGCCACCGTGGCCTTGCAGTAGTCGCAGGGCTTGGCCGCCGTATTGGGCGCGGCGGGCGCAGTAGTCCATCCGCCGGAAAAACATTTGAGGCCGACGCCGACGCCACCCTCGACCATACCCACACCCATTACCAGAAATTTATTAACAAAAAGGTGGGAATTTGTGTAGATATTGACTAGCGTGTACTTACTCTCTGAGTTGGGGTTAGAACTTAGAAGAAGGAGGCAACAAAAACCATGAAAATACTAAACAGCTTTGCCATTCCTCTTGGCGTATCTTAAGGAGAAGCCTTGGGTCCTAACGAGAAAGAAGGACCGCCACGTGGCACAATTCTCACCACAATTAAGATTTTGCGATATTTTGTGTGAAGTTGTTGTCACTTGTCTCCGCCCAGTGCCGACGTAGGGCCAAACCACTCACTCATGTGGGCCCAATGCGACTACCTATTTAATCAAACTTCTTTTTTTTTTTTTTTTTTTTTTTTTTTTTTAACATATTAATAAAGAAAGATATAACAAATATTTAAATAAATATAGATAAAAAGAAATCAACAAGATAAGCAAAAAGAGAGGGAATAATGTCTAACCCACTAAGAACTTTATTTTAGTTATAATTATCGAAATTATCTTCTTGAAAAAACTTTTAAAGTTTTATATTTATCGCAATAAAATTAAAAACTTGAAGGAAGAAATTTTTTTTTTTTTTCATAAAATTACCTTTTTCACTTTTATTCTAACTTTTTCTATCTCTTATTTTTCTTTAAACTTTAGTACTATGATATTTTTCATACTCTTTTCCTCACTAGATAAATATATGGGTTAGAACTTTGAATTGTTGATTTTAATTTTGAGTTATTGAGTGAACCACAATATACTCACTACTCAATATATGTGTGTACTTTGCATAGTGTGATAGTATGTAAATAATGTGTGTGTGCGCATATTAATTAATATCACTAACAATACTAAAAGTTAAATATGATAGAGACTATATAAATGTGACTAGACATACATACGTATATAATTAAAATCAAAATTTGCTTGGTAGTCATTCAAGAGCACAAAAGATTACTTCATTATAAGGGTAGTGAATGCCTTCCTAAGAAGTTTTAATAATAGACTAAAGATCTTAAGGGGAATTGAACTTTTTCAAGTTTTCACTAAAATCATAGTATTGAGATTATTTTTTTTATATATTATATTATATTTTGATTTATTGAAAAACTCGTAGCCGCTACCTGAATGTGCGTTCTAAATGAAACTCCTTGTAATACTAGACGTCAAAAGACTACAAATATATATTATTACTGTTATTATTATTATTATTATTATTATTATTATTATTATTGAATTTATATATATATAATTCAATAAATATAATGTATTATATAAATATATATATATATATATATATATATATATATATGTATATATATATATATAAAGCATGTGTGTAAAAGTTATTTCTTATATAGCTTAGTAATAGCTAATACTAGGGGCCCCTAGAAATGACTATTCTCTTGCAAAGGGAAAAGCTCATTCTCATGAATGTTATTTCCATGAGTAAAATGGGAAAACAAACAATGGAATAGGTATATTATCTGGAATGTTAAGCCATTTTCGACCTATTCTATGAACCAAACATATTATTAGAGTATAATTATATTATTTAACTAAGGAGTAAAAAAATGAAACCAAAAAAAAAAAAAAAAAAAAAAAAAAAAACTTTTTCTTTGAAAATATTACAATCTACTTTATTGCAGTCTATTTTTTTTTTTTTTTTTTGAAAGGTTATTGCAGTCTAATTGTTCTATATTTTAAAACTCAAGTGGGGGAACAGCATTGTATAAGATCAAGGATAAGGTCAGCTCATAGAGATTGGGTTGCCCAGCTGATAGGCAATGCACCTTTCTAAATTAAATATCTAGAAAGCCACAGTAATACCAAGAGAGATAATTGCTTATCAGTTATCATAGATTTAAGTGACCAAAGTGGGATGGCTTATTTAACTTTCTGAATTAAATGAATCTACCATCAATAGCAAAAGATATTTGCTTTTCTTAGTTTGTCCTCTTTGCCCATAGAAGACAAAATTTATTGTTGTAAAAGTTTTATACCTTAGTCTGACAGAATTGTGAAAGGGTGCATTATGATAGTTCAGTGACTTATTACTTGAAATTAAATCATAGCAAGGTGTCCACAAGAGAGGAAAATTTTCACATTACGCCTGATAGAATTTGATCATGCGTTCTTGATAGATTTAGTTATGGAATTCATACATATTTTGATTGTATATTAAATTATTATTATTGTATAAAATTCTTGAAAAAGACTTGAGGGAAGGACACGTTCTCATATTTTTAAGACATTAATATTCTAGATTAAACACTTTTTTCAACATTTACCATACTCAATATCTTAGGAGAAAAGTGTTAATGCACGCTCTTTAGATTTCAATATTGGGCCAACCTCTCTAGCTTGCTAAGGATCTACTATCGATCAAATTGAAGTTATCTTCCAAATTTGGCACACTTCAAAATGTGCAATGACTATATGTCTATATACATTTTGTCTGCTTTTATAAATGATTTCATTGTGTTCATGATGTCTTTTACTTTTGAAAAGATGCTTTTCAAAAGATTTTAAAAGAAAAAATATAAAAATATAAAACTAAGGTTGATCTCAATTACAACTTTTAATTTTAAAGTGATTTTATGGCAAAAAAAAAAAAGTTATGGGAGATGTTGAATGCAAAGGGTTGGGCGCAACATCTAGTAGTAGAAGTAGAATTTTAATTATATTGGAGTAATTCTGGTCAAGTTGGACAAATAATTACTTTGTAATCATAAAGTTACAAATTAAATGAGATCAAATCATGGTCACCTATGTTATGTTTTAGATTTTTTTAATCCATTCTACTAATATTCAAAATAGACATTTTGCAACATGATTGGAATGACTTTTTATACCTAGAATAGTAGAAATATCAATTTATTATGATAAGAGCCTCCCCATTTGTGGTTTTTGAAGAGGTTTTGCAGCCTTTTTGCCCATAGGGAAGAGAGAGAAGAATGGAGAGAGAAGGTTGGGTTGTCCTACAAGAATCAAGTTTTTTGTGGGTTCCACAGGAGAAAGAAATGACAATAGAAGAGTGTTGTAGCTGGGCGACTTTGGCGCACATCCAGCACCCAACCGAGCACGTGCACTGCACACGCCAGCTAGGTGCGTGAACTGCTTTACTTTTCCTTTTTTTTTTTTTTCTTTTTGCGTCAAATTTTGCTTTTCCCTTTTTTTTCCCCTCTTTTTTCTTCTCATCTTTCCATTTTCTTTCCTACATGGTCTGCAAAAAACAATCCTAAAATTCAAACTAACGAGGATGATCTAAATTGACATTGGGAGTGAAATGTAAAAAGTAATTTTTGGAAGGAAAAACTTCCTCTCTTTTTTATTTATTTATAATTTTAGAAAAGAATCATTGTTGTTAATTAGGTCGAGACTTTTCACTGTATTTGATCTTTTGAACATTTGAATAATATTGGTCCTTAGCTTTAAAAAAAAAAAAAAAAAAGTCGTGGAATTCAAGAAAATGAAGAAGGAGAGGGAGAGAGATTCATCATCACCTTATCCTTAAAAATAATGCAACATAAAAAGCATACTAAATAAAGTAGGCCATGGGGAAGATTGGGAAGAACCGAAGAACTACATTTGACTAATAACATTAAGTTACGTCATGCGTCGCGTCACTCCCAAGTACCCTTGGCCTTGGAGATATCTTAAAGAATGGTTTGGCGGTTTAGTCGGCTGTCACCAACTGCCGTGCGCCCATGGGCAAAGACTACTTGGAATTCCTGTTGTCTTTAGGCGGATGTATAGGGGCGTTTTTGGGAATTCAACTACTCTCATTGTGTTGCTATGTCTTCCTCTGGAGCTTCAACCGCACATGGCCACCCATAGGGGACTTCACTTAAGGTTGTTTTTTTTTTTTTTTGAAAATTCACCTAAGGTTGTTAGTTACACCATATGCCTGTCGCTTCAATTATTATTATTAAAATTTCAATTTCAGTCTTGTCCTCCTCCAACCTTATAATTACATTAGCAATACAACTATTACTTGAAAATATGTTTTGAGTAGTCTACCACAAAGAGATAAACGAGTATAAATTGTTCACAACTAACTGACTTAAACCAAAAAGGTCAATAGACAACTCTCGCAAAGAGTCAAATTTAAAACCTTAAACTTACCAAACCAACTTAGCTAGAGTTGCGATCAAATAAAGTGATTTCCCTGTATGAATAAAGTGCATTTTGGAAATTTATAAACATAGGAATGGGAGCAGGAAGATGAGTTAATTGTAACAGAAGTAGAAGGCAGGCAAGTTTAATGACAATATCATAGTTGAAACTTAGTTTTACAATTCAATATCCAGAACTAAAGGGTAATGAATAGAGAGATAGGAAGGGCATGATCCATTGGGGGATTTGGGGTGGCAATACATTACATTACATCACAATTCACAAAAGAAAACAAAGGAATACAGTGAGCAGCAACCCAGTCTATAATATGTCAATAGAAGAGAATAAACTTACTTACTGTACAGGCTTTTCTGTACATGGGAGGAGAGGTATTCAAGACTTGTGAGCGAGCAAGCAATAGCAAACTAAGCCTGTGTGTGCAGTCCTGAAACCCCTAATTACTTCGTCCTGCTGCATTACTTTTCAGATTGATATTGATTTCAGCATTAATCGTCAACTGGTGAGTGGTTAACTCTCAATGCCCTAAAATCTTCACAACAAATTCTACTCGTCATCCAATTCTACAAGTTGGGCTCTCCTCTCGGCTGCCTTCTTCCTGATAAAGAACCCCCACCGCATTGCAGCTTTTATTTTCAGCCAACCAACAACAGCTTTTCCTGGGCGAGGGCGGTCCTCATCGTAACCGAAGCTTGGAGATGGTGCCATGAAAGGGGTGAAGCCAAATCCATCTTCCGGAATATTTACTGACGCATGACCTCCCATGCTGAAGAGCCGAAGCAAGTGCTGCATATCTTCATTCTCTAGCATTTCATGGCTTCTGAGACGAATCTCCTCCTCAGACAAATATTCCTCAACCCCCTTGTCACGGGTGTTAGACCAGTCCTCAAAAGAATTGAGATTGGTTTGCTGAACAGATGAGCCTACTGTTGGGAAGCATGAAGATTGAGGAGGACCAAGAGCCAGGCCAACATTGTTATCATACCGTGCATTTTGCATCTGCTGAGAGTTGTTCATTAGCTGCTGCTGATCATTTGGAGCAAATTGAGTGTTTTCATACTGCATCCGGGAACTAGAGCTCATAATGTGGGACTGATTGGAGTACCTAGCACCCATATTTTCATTATAACTTGAACCTGCCATTGCAAAGAAAACACAAATAAACCTATTAGGTCAAAGCAAACATTGGTACATTGAAAGTGAATAATAGTAGTCATCCTATGCAAAAATTGTGAACGGTGGCTGGCACTTTTGCCCTTGTCCACAGAGAAAAGAAAAGAAAAAGAACAAGAAATGTAGGTGACTATATGCCTAAACTTATATTCATAAATACAAAACACTACTTATTTGCTCCTGGTATTAATCCCAGTACATATAAAATTAGAATGTTTCCAACATATCATTGCACCTAATGACTGAAAGGGTAAGAATGATTAACTGTTCCTCAATTGAGTCTAAGAAGGTCACCTAAACTCAAGTTTAGGAATTCCAGAAGAATTAGAAGTTAGTTTATTGCTATAGTTCCGATATAGATGGGAATGATGGCAGGATTCTCAGTTTGCCCGCCGTGTAGTTTAGTATAAATACCCATCAAAGTTGTAATAATCAATATATTCAAGGTGGCTTCTGCCTTACGAACATTAAAAATAAAATAAAATAAAATGCAGGAAGCAATGTTTACTAGAGAGATTAAGGAAGCATAGGCAAAAGGGAATGGTTTAGTGGAGAGGAAAAATAACTGCCAAAGGCATTGTAGTCTAGTAGCATAATGCTGAAATCCTGAGTTTTCCTTTATGCCTAAAATAAGGCACAAGATAACTTCACATTTCCAATATAAAAGAAAAGGCATGTGCTCTTGCAATTCAAACCTCAACTTTTCCTGTTCTAAAGACAAAAAATTTTAGTTGAAATTAAAATTTTAAAACCATTCTTTAAAGATGAATATAAATCAATATAATTTTCAATCACACTGGTAAAGTTTCCTGTTTCCCATATTCATAGCCAGGGAGGATAATGGAATACTCATTGATGCCACAGCTAGCAGTTGCACATGGTGAATGCTAGTATGAGTAGCTTTGCACATTTTTCCAATCAGGCTCCACAACCAGATCTTATTTAAAATTATCATATCTACAAACACTAGAAATTGCCTACTCCGAAATTTTCAATGTAAGCCTATAAATTAAAAGTTAGAGTGCTGAAGCATTCCTTCAAATTTTCCCTCACCCATTGTTGCACAGATGGGTAGCAAAGGTTTGACACTTATGAGCGATATCTACTTTGGTTACTAGCCATCTATTTGTTAAAAATTTACAGAAATGATAAATATACTACACCTACAAACAACTCATGAAGAATTTATTGTTAAACTGTTGCATACCTCCAATTAGCATGCCAGGGTCCAAAGCAGATGGCTCACTTTGGACTGGAGCAGGAAGCCGTGGTTGTTGAAGCTGATTATTCAAAGAATTTGAATAGTCCACTTGGCCCATAGGAAGCTCATTTCTTGCTTTTTTATTTTTGAAGCTCAAAAGTGTTTTGCCATCATACTCCACAACTTGGTTCCAATTCTCATATGCTTTCTTCACCAAGGAATCAACATATACCTAAAATCAACAAACATTTCAAATTGATTTCACAGTAAGAATTGCAGTCTTGGAAGAAAAATGTAGCTTGGAAACACAAATTACTCAACTAAACACATTGGAACTTAATCAACTACAATAAACCAGTAAATTATCTCAATTTGAAATTGGCAGTAGTGTACATATAAAGACTTCATTTATACTAAGTCAAATTAGAAAATGTTCTTTTTCTGTTTGAAAGCATGCAAAAGTTAATACTACAGACCTTTTGGCTATCTGAAAGTGAATCTGCTGAATAATACTGGTCACTAGCAATGAGGCCACTCAGCTCATAGATATTGTTGAAAACAACACCCACACTTTTTGAGTCATCAGGATAATACACATAAAGCTTCCCACTCAAAGCACAAGTTTTCGCATGCTCTATGAGGGCATCCCACATCTTGTTTGACATACCACTCCCAAGGATCTGCATGAATCATACAAATAAGTTAGAATACACTCATGGAAAGTTCAAACACAGAAAGTAGCAGAGGCCACTTACATGTCGTAGTTTTTGAGGGTCTCTAACCATAAGACGAAGGAAGTCCTCCACAGAAAATATCCCTGCAGTATTTAGCTTCTTGTGGAAGGCACCATCCTTGCCAATCTTCTCCAATCTCCACACATCATCATTAAGAGAAGGTGGGTAATGCTTCTTGTACACTGCAGAGAGGGAAAAAAAGAGAGTCGATAAATTTTCAAAAAACAAAATACATAAATGATAATTATACTAAGCAACCTACATTCTCCTCTGTGATCCTTAACAGTGAAAGCTTCAGTCTTTGCTTCACGTATGCGTATGCCTTCAGAATATCCAGGTGCAACTTTCATGCCAAGTCTGAATTTCCTGCTACGTATCCAACTAGAATTATCTGTAAATATCAGCTCTCCAAGAGTTCCAACACCTTCTTTTAGTGTTACTTGCAAATCACCAGTCAACAATGGTCTCTTGCCTTCTCGTTCTTTTACAACATGACTTTCAAATTCTTCCTGGGTCCAATCATCATCATCTTCATTATTAAAATCACCTTCTAGCACAACAACATCCAGCTTCATACATGACTCAGGTCCAGTTGTTACAACATGTCCACTATTAGAATCAATTAGGACAACATGGATGGCAGCACCCTGTTCCCCTTCAACTTTACCCCCAGTAAAGAGGGGCAAGGAAAGTCTGGATCTAAAATGAAGTTGCATGTTCCGTCCATCAGGCCCTTCAATTCGCTTAGGCGATGACCTAAAACCATACGTGTTAGGAATGACATTTCTTAATGTGATAATTGGTAATAAATAATGGAGAATGGGGGTGGGGGGAAACATAAAACATTCCCAGCTTCAGGCATTACTAAAAGATTTTCCTAGGTTGATCCAAGTGATTATCCATAACTAGAATGGTATAAAGCATTAAATGCACAAAAATATATCAGATAACATAGAGCAATGTATTATGAATGGTACCCCTCTGTCCCAGTTGTCAATTTGGACAAAAGGTGCCCTCAGCTATTGAATATTGGACAAATTGATCCTCACGTAGCATTCCATTAACCAAATGAACATTTTTGTCATATTTTTAATGATTAAGGGACAAATTCTGTCTGTTTTTAATTCTTGGTGGAAATCTTTGTCCAAGTTTCATCACAGTAAATAGTTCCCTCCCCCCAACTGTCAGAAAATGGGCATAGTCCCTTCATTGGGATTTCTAAAGGTGGACCATTTCTATCCAATTTCACCAGTTAACAGGGCCACTTCTATTAAATTCGTAGTTGAGAACTAAAAACGATATACCACCATAGTGGAGACTGAAAATGGAATTAGTTCAACATCCAACCTTGCAGCAATTCTTGCAGGGCCTAACTTTGCCAAAGCTCGTTCCACTTCTTCACTAACCTTTAACACATAAAAAGTGCAATACAATGAGCTTATGAATAAAAATATGGAAGTTTTGATGAAATAATTTTTTTTTTTTTTTTTTTTAAAAGGTGGGGGGGGGGGGGGAAGGGGGGCGGGCGGGCGGGGCGGTGGCTCCATAAAAAGGATGTGTGATAAAGCATGGATAAAATGCACATGCATGACACAAAAATAACGAGTCCTGCAGTGGAATCCATTTCAAATTAAGCAAGATCCAGTCATCAATGGAGAGTTAATGAATCAAAGTGAAGGAAATGGAAGATATTTTTTGGGGCATAAATATATCTAAAATGAAAGGGAAAATAGTAAAGACACAAATCATAATGAACAGTAAAAGCCTAAATTATAGCAATTTCATCTTACAACTCTGCGAAGAATTGGTTCCAAGGAAGAGCACAGCTTTTGGAGACTATCCACCTTGAGAGCTTCCACAATAACACTGCAGAAAATAGTCAGTGTTTAAGAAACTGCAATTCTTCAATGTTCTTTTACACTAACAACAGTCAGAGCAAGCAGTACAGTGACTTAGATCATCTCAAATTTCCCAAATTGTTAACCACTTTAAAATGTCCTTCTAGAACTACAACCAAATAGGCAAGACTCATAACCATTAAGGATAAGATTGCTTTACACATGAAGTATAGGAGCAAGCAGTACAGTGACAACAGTCAGAGCAAGCAGTACAGCGACTTAGATCATCTCAAATTTCCCAAATTGTTAACCACTTTAAAATGTCCTTCTAGAACTACAACCAAATAGGCAAGACTCATAACCATTAAGGATAAGATTGCTTTACACATGAAGTATAGGAGTGTCCTAGAATAAGAATATCTAGTAAAAAAGGGAGGCAGCAGATAAACCAGTATCATCCATATCATACCTTGGAAACAGAGTTATGAGCAGAACAACAATTAGACCTAAAGAAACTCTCTCAAAATCTATAAAGCAGAACAACAAAGAAAACCAAATACAGCTAGCATTTTCTACTTAAAGCAATTAGAATGAACATTGATTAGAAAATGTGCAATACTAAAATTGTACTAAATTTAGAACCACCAAAGGTTTTCAGACATGGTTATGAAAGAAAAAATTTCAACATAAAAAATGGTAGCCAAAGGATACATTTCCTACAATATTAATATGATTAATATGAAAATGAAGCCTGATCTTGAATTATTTATTTATTTATTATACCATACTAATGAAGCTAAAGGTACAAATCAAGTATCAGAAAAGCAGACAGCAATCACTTATTATCCTTTTTTTCTGCATGCCATTTCGTGCAATCTCACCAACAAACTTCAAATTTCCTATGAAGAAAGCTCAGCTTTTAATGAATCACGAAGTTGACATCAACTTCTTTACCCGATTATAGATTAATTTTAATTTAAAGTTCCAATCATAATCAAAAACTAAAAGTAAGTCTTTAACATAAATTTAGTTAATGAAATTAACGAAACAATCACAAATCTAGTGCCGAAAAAGAACAAATAAACACACAAATACGAGAAAAAAAAAAAAAGTTCTTACCTAGCTAAAGCAGGTCGTTTGCGCTCCGGCTGCTGCTCCTCATCTCCTTCCAAACTCCTCTTTCCTCTCATTGAGTTGGTCCTTTCCATGTACCGAGTCTGCATTCTAATCCACCAAACAGAAGCCCTATCCACTAGCAAAACAACAAAACACAAGTCAACGCTCCAGATCCACCACAATTCCGAAAGCCCTAATTCATACACAGAGATCCACCGTATCAGTACTCACCACAACAACTAAACACAAATTCAAGCACACACAGCAACAATCGACTAATTATAGTACAGGCGAATCAACGTGTACGCGCGCTCGCGCACAGTTGAGCGAATTTCTTACCTGATTGGTTGTTGACGTTTCCGTTGAGGTCTCCGAGGTTTCCCTCTGTGTCTCTCTCTCTCTCAACAGCTCAGAGTAACGCTTCAGTGCTCTTATTGGGCGGCCCAGAGGGGTGGTGAACGCGCGTGGGGGTGGCGCGTGGGTTGCAGCTAGTCTCGACGACTAACGAGTCGTAGTGAGATGAGATGAGCTGAAATGCTGAATAAATACGGAGTAGTAATTGTGTTTGAGATCTTTTTGGATTTTGCTTTTGTTGCCCTTTTTTTTTTATTGTTTATTTTTTCTCATTAATTATTTTCAATTGAATGTTTTAGATATATTTATGGTTTTGACCTTTGGGGGTCAAATTGCCAAATTTCTATTTAGGGAGCTTTACATTAATTAGTTATTTTGTAATAATAAAGTTGAGACTCATATAATTATTGCCAAGCACCTTGTGCTCAGGTGGCATGTAATGACCTCTCCCATGTGGGAGGTCAACAGATACTACAATGTAATAGAGTCAGTAGTATTCAAAAAAAAAAAAAAAAGACTCATGTAATTATTGTATAAATTACTAATATATATTTAATCTAAACATATATAATGAATATTTAATGTCAATATTTTTGGTAATACAATATATGATTATGTGTCTATAAGATACCATGTAAATTCGTATAAAGAAAAAAATATTTATTAATTGAAATTAATATACTCCGTAATATCTTTCAATGAACTTTTTTAATATGAAATTATGAAATTTTTATATTTGATTGATTAAGGTATCAAAGTAATGTGTGAACATACAATTCTATTGATAATATTGTACTCTCTAACTATGTTATCTTTTATTACACTATTTGTTGTTTTGATTGATTTTTCTTTTTCTATAAGTCATTTGAGTTTATAACTTTGTCTCTACCCATGTCCATGACAAGATGATTTTTTTTGTCATGCTAATAAAAAAGATAAAAAGGAAAAAAACAAAAAACAAAAAACAAAAACAAAACAAAACAAAACAAAAACATGTAGCAATTGTTGCCTATTGTTGGACGCAATTCGTGCGTAATACGTGACTTGCAACGTTCTTTTAAAAATCTTCAAAAATTGTGCACAAATCCAAATTAGTAGTATCAACTAGTTTTTTTCCTTTTCCATGGCATCTATTCTCCGATCCACAACAGTTGATTTCTCTAAAAAAAACTAAGAAAAAATGCGCTAATAAATCAATATAATAATTTCAATTTGAGAACTATTATTATTATTATTATATAATTATATAATGCAAATACTCACCAGGACTATGTGGTCCAATGGTATCCGGGTTGGACTTCCATTTGGAAGATTATGAGTTCGAGCCTCAGTGGAGGCGTTATTAGCTCTTTGTGTTTTCAATAGGTTGCGAAAGTATATGAACAGATACTACAATGTAATAGAGCTAGTAGCATTCAAAAAAAATATAATGCAAATACTCAATTAGTAAAGCCATTGAGTGGTTAGACAATAAAAATTATATTGACTGAGCCACGCAGAGATAGTTGGAATCTGAATTGGGAAGTATATGCTACTTATATAATAATTGGCTAGCCTAAATTATTGTCTCATCAATATGCCTACTAGGTTAAGTCATTTCATGTCTTGAAAATTGATTATTGCAAATAATAATAACCAACTCTTTTTATCATTTTAATAAATAGACATTTAGAACTTAACTTGATATAATATACTACAATTAAAAAACAACTATCGATCTTAAATATTATATATTTAATATATATCCATATATATATGATATGTATCAAGATTTTACTAGGCCACGCCACAAAATTGCTCTCCTAGGTTCAAATGAATTCACTCATTTCATAAGTGGTTGACTGGATTAATACTCATGACAAGGAAGTTTCTCCTGGTGGTGTTACTGCAAACATTATTGATGATTATATGAGGTGGATGGAAAAGGGTTGGCGGATCAAAGTAGAACACGTCTATCGGGAAGAGAATAAAGTGGCTGATGCATTGACAAATAAAGCTCTTAGTTGAAACAAAGACATTCTGGTCCTGCCTATGCCGAAGGCTGATATGCTATAGATTCTAAATGATAATGTTATTGGGATCCCCTCCCCTCGTGTTATTTATACTGTTAGTTAGTTTTTGGGGTCTCCCCCTCCAACAGAAGAACAAAAATGACTCAAATGACAACAAAGATTAAAGTAATGACATACTTTGAGAGGCCTCCGAGGACTATGCTTGGGTGCCTTGAGAGAGACAAGTTGGGTGTTCAGAGACTATTGAGTCATGAGTTATTGCCTAGTTTGGGGTCCCCCTTCCCCTTTCTCAAAAAAAGTAATGACATACTAGAAATTTAGAACAACTAATTTACAACGAAGTTGGGTGTTTTTTTTTTTATTACATTATATTTCGTACTTGTTTTTTTCTTTTTTTTTTTTTTTGGCTTGACAAATGGTATATTTTATGAAGAATATGAAATGTAAAAAAAAATATTTAAATAAAATTTTATTAAAAATGTTATTTAAAATAAATGTCATATCTGTTAATAACTAATACTCGAACCCACAACCTCCCATATGAAAGAACAACTTAGTGTCATAGTTTTTTTTTTTTTTTGAAAATACTTAGTGTCATAGTTTAATTATTTTAAACTTGCAATAGGTAATAGATCTTTATATTTATAACTTACCTTTAAATTTACTCATTTCAATATTAATTAATCGTATGGGTACGGATATCGTGGTACTATCTTTAGTGTTTTTTTTTTTTTTTTGAAACCAGTACTATCTTTAGTGTTAAAAATCTCATTACATAATTTGAAAATATGTGATGAAGTGAGTGAAATATAGTTATGGTATCTAAAGGCCCTGCAACGAGTAAACGGCAAAAAAACATAATGCAAAGTAAAACAATTTCAACACTCGTAAAGGCAATTTCCTGGTTTTGGTTTTGCTCCTGATAAGTGATAACTAGTCCAACCAATATATCAAGAGTCAGCATATATTAGTACTTTTTTCCAAAAGATGAATTGAAATGAAACATACAAGTAAAATAACATAAGACGTTTCATCCTTTCCTGAAACAAAACATTTCTCCTTCCTAGTTGCTAGGGGATAGTAAGTAGTCTTCCAGTAGGATCCTAGAATGTTGAGCCATTGAACCCACAAAATGAGCGCTGCAAATAAGTATAAAAACGCAATTACAACCAATTACAGGTATGAGTTGGTTGATTTCCTTTGCTAATAGCAATGTTAAACACTTAATTTGTTTCCATTAATTAAACTTGAGTTTTCTAACACGAAGAATTAAGGAGGTACCTGAACATCGTAAAATTTGATGTAGAACCGAGAGCCATCAATGGAAAGCTTTGTCTGCAGAATCTCAGCAATGATGGAACTGAGTTTTCCATTAACGCTGGGGCCGAGTCCGCCGATGGACATTAACTCCCCGTATGCAGCCGGGGCTTCGGTGCCGGCAAACGCGATGGGCACGCTTCCGTTCAGCACAATCATCACATACTGCAAAAATCAATTATTCTTTGAGGAAATTCGTCGAACACCTAGCTCTCAATCTACAATCACACAGCTTCAAAGCTAGAACTGAATTGGAGCAAAATAAATAGAAATGGGGCTTACAGACTCGGGTTTCCCTATGATTTTTGCGACCGCTTTGGTGGCGTCTTTGAGAATGTCTGAAGCTACCACCGCGTCGACGGGGACATTGGTGAAGAGACTCAGAGACGGCATTTTGGGCGTGTTGTTAAATTGTTTATTTTGGTTGTGATAACGAGGAGAAGTGATGCCGCGATGGAGTAAGAGCAAAGCTTGAAGTTGGGGATGAATGGGTGGCAGTTAAGATTTGTTGATAGATAAAGTTGACAACACTTGAGAGGTCGAATTGTGGCAGTCTCCAGAATTTTTTTGTTACTCATAAATATTACGGAGTATTGTTTTTACTTTCTTAATTGCCAATATTAATAACTATTTCACCAAGAGCTGATTAAATTGTATTTATTTGAATAACTACTTCCATTTTTTTTTTGTTTGTTCTAGTCTAGTATCATCCTACTTTTAATCTCTTCTGTATGTATATACACAATGGATCAGGTGCGAAACTTCTCCCAGGTGAAATATGCGGATTACTTACATCTTTTTATCTTACGAAAATAAACCGTCCAAAATGAAAAACAATTAAAAAAAGATGCGGTGACATTATTGTCATTTTGTGTAAGGTCACAACTTAAGGTGCGTAAGTTCAAAACTTAAGTTACGTAAGTTTATAACTTAAAGTGCGTAAGTTTATAACGTTAGATGCGTAAGGTCACAACTTAAGGTGCGTAAGTCTAAAACTTAATGTGCGTAAGTCTAAAACTTAATGTGCGTCACTTTCTAGTTTAAGGTGCAATTAGTTTAACTCTTGATGTGCGTAAGTTTATAGCTTAAATTGTGCATGTTTAAAGCTTAAGGTGCGTAAATTTATAGCTTAGGGTGCGTAAGTTTATAGCTTAAGGTGCGTAAGTTTTTAGCTTAGGGTGCATAAGTTTATAGCTTAGGGTGCGTAAGTTTATAGTTTAAAGTGCGTAAGTTTATAGCTTAAGGTGTGTATGTTTAAAGCTTAAGGTGCGTAAGTTTATTGCTTAAAGTGTGTAATTTTACAGCTTAAATTGTGTATGTTTAAAGTTTAATGTGAGTCACTTTCTAATTTAGAGTACATCAGTGGTAGGGAATATCCCGACCGACATAGCCTCACCACGACCGAGGAGTCTTTGTCTCTTTCTCCTTGTCTTTGCAGGTAACAGGTCGGGCTTCACGAGAAGAACCCGGTCGTAGGCCGACCGGAGTTGCCCGAGTGACGTTGTCGACCACCGAGCGGTAGCCCTTGGGCGAAAGAGCTGACGAAGGACACGTGGCGGCTCTTTACATCGACAGCCAGGGCACCCGGGAGGATGACACGTGGTGGCTACGTGGAAGACATGCCGAGCGGCTGGAATCTTGTCCCCGGCATAGCGGCTATAAATACCCACAGTAGCTACAGTGTAAAGGACTTTTTTGGACGATCGATAGGTTGTTGTTAGAGCATCCCGACCGCAGTCAGTCGGTACTCAGAACAACCAAGTAGATTGTACTTAGGGCCTTTACCGGGATCAATAAAGATTTTACTTGCTTTAATTGGTCTTGTGGTATTTTATATTGCTTACGTAGAATTAGCAGTATCATTTTGGCGCCGTCTGTGGGGACCCGTGCAAGAAACCGACGTCTTGACGAGCACCCGATCACCATACCAACATGTATCCGTGGGCACACAACAACTTCGCCGACGACCAGGCGGATGCGGCGAGCTCCTCCGACCACTATGCTACCCAGCAGCAAGGTCAAACAATGGACCTCAACCTCAATCTCTCACCGCCACATCCGTCGAATACATACCCGGCCGCCCAGCAGCCGGTGAATTACATACAACCGGGATACCCACCACCCGGTCTGCCATACCAGCAGCAGCCGATGATGTATCCCGCCCAGTACCCGTACCCGGTCCCACCTCCACCGTACGGGTATTGGCCAGGCCAACCGATGTGCTACACTTCCCCGGTTGGCTATCCACCATATACGCCAGCTTATACAGCTCCAGCCGCCGCCCCTCCAGTACAGCCGACCGCACAAGTAGAGCCGCAGCGTCAGTCCACTTCCCAGGCTCGACGCTCGGCTCATTCGCGGTTGGGGTCGGGGGGTGCCGATGCGATGGAGGCACCAGCTCAGGCCATTCAAGCGGAGGACCCGGAAGAGGTTGCCCGAACGGTAGCTTTCGATCGTCTCCGACCAGAGATGCGCCAGCGCCTGGGACCCCAAGACCCGAATCGCGGGCAAGAGGACGTGCAAATGCAGGAAGCTAGCCACGAGGCTTCATCCGGGTATAGCGGGTCGAGATCTCACCGACGGCGATGCGCTCGGGATACAGCCCAAGCCGCTCAAGCCGCCGAGCTCAACGAAACCCGAGGATTGCTCTACAACCTCCAGGCGGAAGTTGCGCAGCTCAGGAGCGCGTATCCTACAGCACCCCCGGCCGACCGATCGACCCTACACCAAACGCCTTTCACAGCAGCAGTAATGGCTCAGCCTTACCCGCTCGACTTAAAGGTCTCGGGAGAAAAGAGTTACGACGGTCGGACAGATCCTGAGGCCCATGTGAATGATTTTTTCAGCAACATGATGCTGAAGGGCGTTTCGGACGCCGTGATGTGCAGAGCCTTTTACTCGACCCTCACCGGTCGGGCAGCAGAATGGTTCCGAACCCTGCAGCCGGGGTCAATCGACAAATTTGAGACCCTGGCGATCAAGTTTGTACGGAAGTTCATTACTTCCAAAGTGGTGAGGAAGTCCTACATGTACCTCGAGAAGGCCAAGCAGTTAGAAGGGGAAAGCTTGACTGATTTCCTCATCAAGTGGAAAGCGGCGGTCGGGGAGGTCGAGCCCATGGATGATGCGACCGCCACCCACATGCTTCACATCTCCCTCCGGGCGGGATACTTATACCAGGATTTTATCCTCCACCCCCCGACCACATATGAGGAGGCCCTCCGAAGGGTCACTGATTATGCCAACGCAGGTGAGGCGAATGCCGTCAAGCGCTCGCAGGAGGTCGGCTCTTCATCCCGTAAACCGGCCGGCCGGGCGGAACATCGATCGGGAGATGACAATCCCCGACCCCGCACCAAGCATGGCGAGTTTACGGCCTTGAACCGATCCGCAGCGGAGGCCATGCAATACGCCCAGTCCTGCAATCTCATCAAACTTCCCCATCCCGATCGAGACGGCCCCGACAAGAGTAAGCATTGTGCTTACCACCGATGCGCCGGGCATGACACCGAGGAGTGTACCCACTTGCGCCAATTATTAGAAGATTTGCTCAATTTGGGAAAATTGGACAAGTGTGTGGGAAAGAGAGAAGACAGCAAGAGAAATACCGATCGGAGGGATCACAGACGATCTCATCACCGCTCTGATCGGTCGGGCCAGGACCGAAGAGACGATCGAAGGGACGATCGTCATGATGACCGACGGGACCCTGACCCTCCGTCCGGTAGCCGCCCATCCGGAAAACCTACCATCCACGTCATTTTTGGTGGGCTGGAAGATGCTTCCCGACCGCGGACAAATTGCCCGGTCGCAGTAGTGGATTCCCGGGAGACCGGGAAGAGGCAGAAGATGGAGCCCATAACCTTCACCCTCGAGGACCAACCGACCAGCAGTGATCACGGCATGGAGGCGCTCGTGGTCACGATTGACGTCAAGGGGACGGATGTCCAAAGGGTTATGGTTGACACGGGCAGCAGCGTGAACGTCCTATACTTGGACGTGTTTGAAAAGCTTGGCCTCGACGGGAAGGAGCTGACTCCGGTCGGTGTACCACTGTCAGGATTTACCGGGGCTCTTATCTACCCCGAGGGAAAAATAACGCTCCCGGTCGAGATCGGCACGCCTCCAAAGTCGATCCAAACGGAGCTGGAATTTGTTGTGGTCAACCTCCATTGCGTCCACAACATAATCTTGGGCCGACCCGCCATTATGAAGATCGGTGGGATAATTTCTATGCCTCACCTATGCATGAAATTCCCCACCCCCAACGGGGTCGGCGTGGTCCGTGGCGATGTCCAATCCGCCCGGAAGTGTTACACCCGAGCGGTCAATAGACGTGACTCCGGCCCGTCTTCCCGGGTGAACACCATAGCCAAGGAGGAGGCTAAGGAACGGAAGGAGCAGCCTGAGCCTTCCGAAGAAATTGAAGAAGTTCCCCTGTCCGAGGACTGCCCGGACAGGAAGATTAAGATTGGCCGAGCCCTCACTCCCGAGCTCCGAGCGGAAGTTCTGGCCGTGCTCCGGGAGTACGCCGATATTTTTGCATGGGGGCCTGAAGACATGCCCGGGATCGATCGGTCGGTCATTTGTCACAAATTGGCCGTCGATCCCGCAGCTAAGCCGGTCGTGCAGAAAACGCGACACCTCTCCTCCGATCGCCGCGGGTTTGTAAGAGAAGAAGTCAAAAAGATGGCGGCGATCGAGCACATCCGCCCGGTGGTCTATCCTGAGTGGGTGGCAAATATTGTTCTTGTTCCTAAGCCCCCAGCATGGAGGATGTGCATCGACTTTACGGACCTCAACAAAGCCTGTCCGCTCGACCCGTATCCTCTACCGAGTATTCATCAGATGGTCGACGAGACGGCTGGGGCCGAGTTAATGAGCTTCATGGATGCCTTCAAGGGGTACCATCAGATCATGATGCACCATGAAGACGAGAGCAAGACAGCCTTCGTAACCCCGGATGGGCTGTATTGTTACCGAGTGATGCCGTTCGGCCTCCGAAACGCTGGAGCGACCTACCAAAGGATGGTCAACATGCTCTTTGCTGATCTGCTGGGCCGAACGATGGAAGCTTACATCGACGATATGTTGGTCAAGAGTCGGGACCGATCCGACCACACTCGGGACCTTCGGGAGTGCTTCCAGATCATGAGGAAGTACCAGTTGCGGCTGAACCCGACCAAGTGTACATTCGCGGTTCAGACCGGCAAGTTCCTCGGCTATATGATGACCAAGAGAGGAATCGAGCCTAACCCGGCCAAAGTAAAAGTGATTCTGGACATGCAGCCACCTTCCACCGTTCGGGAAGTCCAACAATTGACCGGTCGGTTGGCAGCCCTCAGCCGGTTCCTCTCCAAGCTAGCCGAGCGCGCTTTACCTTTCTTCAAGGTATTGCGAAAAGTTAATGGATTCGTCTGGGACGAGGAATGCCGAGCGGCTTTTGACGAGCTGAATGAGTATCTCATGTCACCGATCGTGCTCTCAAAGCCCGAGCTCGGAGAAGAGCTAGACGTGTACCTCGCCGTCTCCGATCGTGCAGTAAGCGCAGTTCTGTGCCGAACCGATCCGGAAGGGGTCCAGCGACTGGTGTACTATGT